GACCCTACGAGCCATACTGGCAGGCTAAAGAGATAATAAATGCTTGTTTTGTGTAATACACAGATTCCACAAAAACTAACCACAGATTCAAGCTCTATACTTCCGCTTGAAACTTCTGCCAGCTCTATGACGCGTATTTCTACAGAGTTATCGGATCCCGTGAAAAATTTGCGGCGGCTTACTGTTGTAGGCCTCCTTATGTCATCAGGAGTAAGATAATATAGATATCTATATTATCTTACTCCTTATGTCATTGGATGGTGATGCCTCTAGCGGATCACTATATCTCACCTGAGACCTACTAACACTTTATCGCCTGCGAAATGTACTATTTATATGATTATAGCGTTGGCGCTTTATAATTATTGAATTTAGCTATAGTAATTAATATGGAGTAAGGAAAGCGTCTTAAATATATGTGCTCTACGATATAAATAGAAAATTTTGGCTACTTCTATTTAATTTCGTGATTCGTAGCTCCTAATACAAACGCATTAGTGGCCCCACAGGTCCGGATTGAGGTCCTTATAGGGAATATAGCCGTTACTGCTTTGAAGACTTTTTATTACACCAATTAAATGAGAAACGTTAAAGGATAAAAATTATCAACGATTACAATACCTCAGGCTCATACATAAAGAACCCGTCCCTTTAACAATTCCTGGAAGCGCTCTTGTGGCAACAACAACAGCAGCAGCAACAACAGCACCACCTGCAGCGGCAGCAACAACAACAACAACGATGCAAATACGCAAGAAATCGATTTCCATATAAACCGTTTTTTATTTTAAATTGTCCTGTAAATAACTTGACAAACGTTTACAGAAAACCTGCTACCACAATTGCGTACCTTCCGACCATGCCCTCCCATCGTGGCCCCTCCCTCGACGCTCCGTGACCCCCTCCCCCTCTGCTCGGAAACATTCAGACTTCCATCATTACACCAAAACGTAAATCAGCGTACAACGATGCGAGCATTTCATCTTGGCTCCTAGAAAGGATAACGTAACCCGGCAAACAGTAGGGAAGCTAACCTGGTTAAACGCACACTGTTAAAACGTGCAAAGGATAAAAATTGCCACCAGCCGTGACTTCGTACCCGTCTCTGCTGTTAGTGATATCCACAAGCTCGTGCTCTGATTCTTGGCACTATAGCTGATGCTATCTCATCCTATAGCTAAGGGAGAGGGGCCCGAAGAGCGGGGGGGGGGGTCAGCGAGGGAAAACGTCACGAGGTCACGCACGCATACGTCACACGGTCGAATGGTAAGCGATTCGAATTCTGTACAGAGAGGCTCGCTACGCTATTCATAACAACAATAATATACTGCATTGTCCAAAAATTGTACAACATTGTTTTTCGAACCTGACCGCGCATCTCTAGCGGCGGCCAACCATAAATTACAAAGACGTACAGACGCGCACACACGGGAGCGGGTGATACTGGGAGAGTTGGGGGAGAGATGAAGAGTATGTGGTCCTTCACATGCCATTCTCAGATGGAACCCCTTCCGTAGAGACTGTCACTATAGTATCATGCTGTTGAAACGCAGTGGGCGTTAAAACGTAACGTTAACGCGAATTGTAAAAGAATTTCGACATCCTCTTACGTTTTGCTCCCAGAAAAAAATTCCCCTTCCGAAACGACTGGACGAGAAATCGAAAGAATTTCTAAACGGTCAACTTTACGTTGTTAGTGACGACCTTTACAATATCCTTCTCCTCCCAAGACATGACCAACAAAAGAATGTCTCCTTCTTCGCTGGACTTTGGTGAATCTACTTTACGAGGTTGTGAGGTTATTTCTCTTGCAAGCGGGAACAAAAACAGTGTCAATCTCAGCGTGGAAGTTTCTCACCTACAGATGCACGCTACACTACTACTACTAATAATAATATGCAACAGTACAAGCACGCACACGCGGAGTCAGCGCGAGGATAGAACAGGGTTAACAGCAGTGTAAGTAATACGCAGTACAGTCGGATGCACATCTACACGAAACGTTGCTGTATATAAGTTATTATATCGTTTATACGTTTGCTTGGACCACAGAGTTTAGTATACAACTTCTTATTTACAATATAGTGGTTCGCCGTGTGGTGCACTAGTTGCAATGGTGACGTCACTCCCCCCTCACATGAATCGCCCAATATCATCCAACCCGCGAAAAACGAAGATATAACGCAAAATGTCAACCGATTTTTGATGCTACACTCATTCAGGCCACGGAAAATTTTAAAATTGGAAAATGTAATGGCCTTGAGCCCAAGGCCATGACCTTGAACTCATGGCCACGGAAAATGTTAGAAATTGGAAAATTGGTCGACGCCACGGTCAAGGTCAGGGTCAAGGTCCACGCAACAACAACTACTGAATTCTACTCTGCTCTACTGCACTGTACTCTACTGAATTCTACTCTGCTCTAGCTACTGCACTGTACTCTACTCTACTATACTGTTCTACTGCTGTACTGCACTGTAGGCCTACTCTACTCTACTGCTCTACTATACTGTTCTACTGCTGTACTCTACTCTACTCTACTATACTGCTCTACTGCTCTAGTTTATTCTACTCTACATGCGGAGATTCCCACCGCCGCAACCAGTGATTCACTGCACTCTATTACCCTACCACCTTACTCTTTACTGAAATATGTAGAGCTTTCTTTGCAAATTATTGTGGGCATCTTTTAAATAATCGCCATCACAGAAATAGTACCTCGAAAATTTTAGTTAGAGTATATATATTTATTGTAAAGTATTTCAATCGTGAAAGCATGTGGTAATACACACACGTGTGGACTTCAATATACGTAATTGTGATATATGTACTAATGAATATTAAAACGAGTATATAATCAGGAACATCTAAAGTAAATTCTTCTGCAAATGCCCTGGTCTGACAGTGGCCCACAGGCGTACAAATCATACGCGAACAATCACGGGGGACGTGTGAGAATACATGTTCAGAAACATGACTTACCAGTGAATTAAAAGAATATTTACTAGATCAAATATGCTAATTATATATGAAATTTGTAACCACATTCGTTTATAAAGGCCTTGCCGATAAATTGAAAATATACACTGCCGATAAGTTCCATTTACAATTAATATAAATTGGTGGTTCTGCAAAAAGCTTTTAATTACGCGTTTCTCTAATAATATTTAAATAATAAAAATTAAATAAATATATCATGAATGTAAAATCATGAATAAGTGTCTCCAAACACAGCTAGGTCGCATCAGACGTGTGCGTATAGCTCTGCGCACTTCATGGTATGTATAACTGGAGATCGGTAACCACTGAATCGCTCGCTGCTCGATGTTCCATTGAAAACGTGTCGATTCTCCGGTTACGGCGAGGCGATTGGCACTGGAAAAATATTTTATGTGCATGAAATTAATATGAAATTCGACAACGAAAGGCGGATGACGGATCAGTTGCGACTGACAATGATGTTTGTGCAGTTTTATCTATCCCCCCTCTCTCTCGCGCGCTCTCTCTCTCTCTCTCTCTCTCTCTCTCTCTCTCTCTCTCTCTCTCTCTCTGAACCTGACGCGCATCTCTAGCGGCGGCCACAACATAAATTACAAAGAACGTACAGACGGCGCACACACGGAGCGGGTGATACTGGGAGAGTTGGGGGAGAGATGAAGAGTATGTGGTCCTTCACATGCCATTCTCAGATGGACCCCTTCCGTAGAGACTGTCACTATAGTATCATGCTGTTGAAACGCAGTGGGCGTTAAAACGTAACGTTAACGCGAATTGTAAAAGAATTTCGACATCCTCTTACGTTTTTGCTCCCAGAAAAAAATTCCCTTCCGAAACGACTGGACGAGAAATCGAAAGAATTCTAAACGGTCAACTTTACGTTGTTAGTGACGACCTTTACAATATCCTTCTCCTCCCAAGACATGACCAACAAAAGAATGTCTCCTTCTTCGCTGGACTTGTGGTGAATCTACTTTACGAGGTTGTGAGGTTATTTCTCTTGCAAGCGGGAACAAAAACAGTGTCAATCTCAGCGTGGAAGTTTCTCACCTACAGATGCACGCTACACTACTACTACTAATAATAATATGCAACAGTACAAGCACGCACACGCGGAGTCAGCGCGAGGATAGAACAGGGTTAACAGCAGTGTAAGTAATACGCAGTACAGTCGGATGCACATCTACACGAAACGTTGCTGTATATAAGTTATTATATCGTTTATACGTTTTGCTTGGACCACAGAGTTTAGTATACAACTTCTTATTACATATAGTGGTTCGCCGTGTGGTGGCACTAGTTGCAATGGTGACGTCACTCCCCCCTCACATGAATCGCCCAATATTCATCCAACCCCGCGAAAAAACGAAGATATAACGCAAAATGTCAACCGATTTTTGATGCTACACTCATTCCCACTGCCCACAACACGCACGCACGCACGCACGCACGCACGCACGCATACGCACACACACACACGCGCGCGCGCACGACGCCACGCACGCGCACGCAATACGCAAGCACGCACGCACGAACGCCACGCACGCACGCACGCACGCACGCCACGCACGGCACGCACGCACACACACACACACACACACACACACACATACATACACACACACACACGCACACACACACACATACACGTGACACACGGGTTAAGTGTTGGCAATGACTGAA